TTGCAAGCACAGTGTATAGATACTTGGTCTATTACATGGACACCAATGGTTGTCTTGCTCCTTATTTCTTCTGTTTTCAGTGTAGGGTGTTCACTGCATTTACCTTTTTCATGGCCTCTTGGTGACAGTGTTCTCAGATCCTAGGAATACAAAAAAATGCATGATGGAGCGAAATATTATACCTAGTGTCTGCCAGGTTTTTTTTTATTATTATTTTTTAGAGCAGTTTTATATTCACCGCAAAATTGAATTCCCTTATGTGCCCTTCCCCAACACAAGCACAGCCTCCGCCAGCAATACCCCACCAGAGCAGTGCATTTGTTACATTCAGTGAACCCACATTGACATTTCCTCACCCCCAAAGGCCAGTTTACATTAAGGTTCACTTTTCTTGTGCGTTCTGTGGATTTTAACAAATGTGTTAATGACATGTATCTACCGATGTAGTATAATACAGAAAAATCTCACTGCACTAAAAATCCTCTGTGCTCTGCCTCCTAGCTTTTTTGTGTGTGTGTGTGGTGGTTTTTTTTTTTTTTTTTTTTTTTGACAGCTGGCTTGTATGAGGGGTCCAAACCCTTGACCTTGGTGTTAATAATACTGTGCTCTAACCAGCTGAGCTGCTGCCAGTCTTCAGTGTGTCATATGTATGTTCAACTTTTATGCAAGATTCTGCAAGGTAGAAATACATCTTAAATAAAGTAAGATTAATTCAGATTTTTATCTTGAATAAATTATCAAACTATTATCTTGAATATTTATCTTATTTAAGAAGTTAAAATAATTTAAAGTTGCATTTGTTACAATTTAAGGTTCTTGATAGATAAATTGAGGAAATTTTGAATGACTTGGTACTCCAAGACTTAAGGTCAGAAAGTCATCTAAGTAGCTTTTTTTTTTTGTCCTTTTTGAGACCAGCCGCACCGCGCTCAGCCAGTGAGCACTGTGAGCGCACCGGTCGTCCCTATATAGGATCCGAACCCGCGGTGGGAGCACTGCTGCGCTCCCAGTGCCGCACTCTCCCGAGTGTGCCACGGGCTCGGCCCTCTAAGTAGCTTTTTAAGAGTTGTTAATCTTAGGTAAAGATTTTTCTCCTCATCAGCTCTTAGGGAAGAACAGTTGACACTAATTAATTCGTGGTTCCTTAGCAGCTGGGATTTGGGGAGTTCTGCTTTTTAAACTGTTGATAAGAACATAGCTTTTCTAACCTTTTTACTCATAGCTCTGTATCTTTAAGTCACTGAAAGAAATTTGAACTTGAGCTAGTAGGAGTTGAGAAGAGAGAAACTTCAATTTTGTTTTTAAGCAGAATCGTACAACTCTGGAGAATACAAACTTAGACTTTCTACATTTTCCAGCAGCCATGATGATGGCAAATTTGGGGGATCATATTTACAAGTGTTGCATTTTTAGAAACAAAGACTATTTTGAAAAATGTAACCTCCCTTCCCAAATTATACATATCTCATATCTTCCTGCACTGAAGTCGTTCTATCTTGGTTAAACCTTTTTGTGGACACTATTAGAATAATAGTTTTGGTTTTTTAAATTATCTTTTTACCTTTAAAACTAGTATTGTGGGCATCTCTTATTTCAATATAAAAATCACAGATTAATTCTCACACAAGACATTTTGATCTAAAGGATTTTTTAAAATTCTGATTTAAGGGCCGGCCCATGGCTCACTCGGGAGAGTGCGGTGCTGACAACACCAGGTCAAGGGTTGAGAGCCCGTACTGGTCATCTTTTGAAAAAAAAATAAAAATAAAAATAAAAATAAAAAATAAATAAAATTCTGATTTTAAAGTTTTTAGAGGAACCTTATTTTCTTTTGAGCAGACTTTTTAGAGCTAAAGGTTTTTCCCTCTAACTTAGTTTTTCACTGGTAGAGAATATCTGGGTATGTTCCAAATGTGCTTGAGTTTATCTAAAGGTGATACTGTCATTTCATGATCTCTGTGTTCCAGGTGTCTGAGCCAACTAGATAAACTTTACACAAGCACAAGTTGCTACTTCTGGGCTCTTTAACTAGATGTGCAGCAGGAGGAGACCTAATGCTATAGTGCACTGTTGAGGTCATTTGAGCTTTAAATAGTTCCTGGCTCTTGAAATAAGGACAGCATGATTTAGGGGAAAGGCCAGAACTTGATCTCACTAGCCTTCAGTACTCTAGCTTCTCCTTGCATTAGAGACAGTTAATTAGGTTGCACGGTGAAACGGCTAGTCGTCAGCCTGCACATTCAGTGAATATAGGGTAGAGTCTGGGGGTATGAGTGCCTAAGGCCTCCAAAGGCCTCAGCTTGTTTCTAAGCCAGTCTAGGGAGTTTTTTTCCAGGCTATATGATACTAAAGCTTATGGAAAGGAAATGATACAAGGGAGCTTAGGAAGTTTAAGCTTAGAATAGAAAAGAGGATGAAATAGAGAAGAGACACTCAATACAGGAAGATAAGCCAGGAGATTGCTAGGTGAGAAATGTAGGTGTCTCCTGTGGTGAAAACTAAAATGAAGGAAAATTATTCAAGGTACTCTCAAAAGTAATTGCTTAATTTCTTTAGCACTTTACCATATCAGGAACACTTTATTATTCATCTGATACACTGTTACAATAACCTTATGAAAGAGGCAGAAATACTTGTTTTACAGATAAGAAAACCAAGGTCCAGAGAAATGAAATGGCCCCCACTTAGCAAATGGTGGAACAGGGAAAGCCACAGTCTTCTGATGTTACAAGGCTGTGCTCTAACCAGTTGTGCTAACCAGTCAGCCAGTGTTCTGTGTATACATCAGAACTCAACAGGAATGATGATGGTCTGAGGGTTGCAAAATAGAGAATTGGACATGAGGTGAGAAGCCTTCTTGTTTATTCAGGAGAGAAGTGTTTTCACAAGAGATGGCCAAGGGAGTCATGGAGCAAAAAGCACCTCTTTCCTGCTTTCTTTCTGCCTTGAATTCTGGGGACCAAAACTGTATTCTTTCCCACTCTTCAGTCTGTTTCCCTTAGGCCCTGTCTGGTAGAGTACCATTGTTCTTTAACATTATAATGGAGAATCAATGATGTACAGTCAAAGGTTAACTTGAAAAAAAAACTACTAACCAGTTTAGGAAGTATTTAAGTGTATGTATCATATGCTAGGTATTGTGAGAAATTAGTAAGTAAAGCATAATTGATTCATTCAATGAATGGATTGCTCACAGTAAACTAGTAAGTATGATTTGGTTTAAGTTCAGATTTAATTATCTCAGAGTAGGTACTATTTAAATTAGTGACTACAACCAGTTTCACTAAGCTTATGTCCCCCCATGTATAAAAGTGGAATATATATACTAAATTCAAATGATTCAGATGCAGAAAAGGAAGCCTCTTGGTATCCCAACCCCCAATATAGTTTAATGTGTCTTTTTGGATTATACGCTCTTACCCCTAAATCTGTAAGTAATACAGTGTTATGGAGATGCTCTAGTTGATCTACACAGGGAACAGTGAGGACTCAAAGGTGAGGGAGTAGCCAGTTTAACTGGGGGTGGGGAGAGGAGAGTAGGGGAAGAAAGTGTGTCATAGAGGATCTGAGTGTTATCTTGATTCTTGATAGCTGCGTAAATATTTGTCAGGCAAGGAACACTGTGGAGAATATTCTAGGTAGGGGCAGAAGAATGAAGGTTTTTGCATTTTTATGACTGGAGCACAGGTACAGGAGAGGATGAGGCTTGTGAAGTATCTTGTCTTCTGTAAGACTTAAATAGAGCATGATTTGGGATTCCTGACATTGTGATTTAGCTGTTGACTTAATATATAAAAGTTTCAACACAATAGAAGCTTCAGTTAAGCAGACAAATAATGGTATGTGACCTCAGAATAGCAATAAAGCTTATCTTTCTTGTAAAATAATCTATTTCATGTGGTTGTCAGACACTTGATGGAGTAGTTTATTGCTCTGATGCCACAGAAATCAGGTAAATTAAATAACTAGTGTTGGCGACTTCATTTCTTTATTATAAGCAGCTGTTTCATAGTAAAAAATCTAGAACATTGGTTTGATGTTGCTTTAGTTTCCTTGGGGTGATTAGTCTTTGGGACGATGAAGACAGAAACCTTTAGAAATGCCCGTGCTGAAAGCTTATTCCTGTGGGCCACTTGGGCTCTGAAGAACTTCACTCATCTCTTCACTGTTTTGTATTGCTGATTCAGTGTTCAGTCAGACACTGTCACGGATACATGTTCCCCAAGTCGTTAAACTATCACAGTGGTTAGACCCAATCCCATTTTGACTTCCTTTCTGAGGTTTCTAATACATAGGGTCTTAGCATATGAACAGAAAAGCCTCCCCTTTTTTCTCAAAAGTCAACTTGAAAATGACTTAGTATATTCTCACCCAAAAGGGAAGGGACTGAAGTAAAAAGGACAAGATTAGGAGAAAACCATCAATCATTCTGGTTTCTTAAGTTGCTGAGGTATAGAAGCCATCTACATATTTAAAATCCCTAAGATTGGTATGTACGTAATGTTACATGAGAGAACTGTTGACCTTTTGCAATTTATTTATTTATTTATTTATTTTGTCCTTTTTGAGACCGGCCACACCGCGCTCAGCCAGTGAGCGCTGTGAGTGAACCGGTCATCCCTATATAGGATCCGAACCCGCGGCGGGAGCACTGCTGCACTCCCAGCGCCACACTCTCCCGAGTGCGCCACGGGCCCAGCCCGACCTTTTGCAATTTAGATCAAAATTTGACTTGTCTTCTAAGACCTAGACTTGACAGTTCTTTTGTGGGACAGCATGTGGTAAACCTGTGTCCTTTCCTAGGGAGGAAGCTGGAGTTCAGGCACCATCGATCCAGCTGCCTTTTTTCCTTGTTGCTCGTTTCACTTCCATGCTCCTTCCCTACACCCAGACAACAGAACTTCTCTATTAGCCACTTTAATCAAGTGATATATCTGTTTTGTTTTAGTGGCATAAAGACTTCTGTACCGTAACAACTCTTTATTCTTTCCTCCTAACAGGTGACCGAGCTGAATGAGCCACTGTCCAATGAGGAACGCAACCTTCTGTCTGTGGCTTACAAGAATGTTGTTGGGGCACGCCGTTCTTCCTGGAGGGTCATCAGCAGCATCGAGCAGAAGACATCTGCAGATGGCAATGAGAAGAAGATAGAGATGGTTCGTGCTTACCGTGAAAAAATAGAGAAGGAGTTGGAAGCAGTGTGTCAGGATGTGCTGAGCCTGCTGGATAACTACCTGATCAAGAATTGCAGTGAGACCCAGTATGAGAGTAAAGTGTTTTACCTGAAGATGAAAGGGGACTATTACCGTTACCTGGCTGAAGTGGCCACTGGAGAGAAAAGGGCAACTGTCGTGGAGTCCTCTGAGAAGGCCTACAGTGAAGCCCATGAGATCAGCAAGGAGCACATGCAGCCCACTCACCCCATTAGATTAGGCCTGGCTCTTAACTACTCCGTTTTCTACTACGAGATCCAGAATGCGCCTGAGCAAGCATGCCACTTGGCCAAGACCGCTTTCGATGACGCCATTGCTGAGCTCGACACTCTCAACGAGGACTCCTACAAGGACTCCACTCTCATCATGCAGCTCCTCCGCGACAACCTAACGCTCTGGACAAGCGATCAGCAAGACGACGATGGTGGAGAAGGCAACAATTAAGGCCCCCAGGTGGACTGGCAGCGCACGCTGATGCTACTACTGCAGTCTTTATTTTTTTCCCATGAGTTGGGGGTCGGGTGGGGGAGGGAAAGGGAGGGGTGACCTTCCCAGGGAGAAACCCACGACCTGTCCTGTCTTTGATTGCCTCTTTGACATTTTTGCCAAAATACCACTAGTGGAAAGTCAGGCTAGTTGTGCTGGTATTGGAATAGCAGCCTCACACTGGCATATGGACTGTTCTGTAGATTAATGCAAGTGGAGCTGTCTGTCTTTAATTTAACTTATTGCTAGGTAATAGGGTTTTAAGGCAAAAAGAAAACTGAAATGGAATGGCCCTCATTCAGTAAGTTCTGTGGTTCCAGTAAGGACTTTTATGTACATATGCTCTTGTCTTAAGTTTTGGGTACTTTCTAGCTCATCTGTTTTAGCTGTGCATTTTTTTCAGGGTGTACTCTACCACACATGGAATAGTTTAATCCCAGGCTGACAGACTTAGAACATAAGGTATATTCATCCTTATGGTTTAGGCCTGGCCGGTTTTCTGAAGTCTCTGATTAGTTGACAGTATTAACACTAAATTGCAGTTTACAGTATTTCTACATTACAGCCATATGTAACATCAAGCCATTGATTGTGTATTTTTATTTGCTAGTTATTTTGGCTTTACATCCTTATTCAGCCTTATCCAGGTTGGTTTTAGTTTGTCTGTCTCCTGGGCTAACAGACTTGCCTGGGGAGAATCAGAGCTACTTTAGGTTTTGGTTAATAGGTGCTTGGCAGGTGGCTGTGGGATTTTTGTTCTTCTTTCCTCTTAACTTAAATCCACCACAAAAATTATTAGTCATTTTAATAGAAAGGTTAAACACCACAAAAATAGACAAAATTCAGGTCTGTATGTCATTTATCGTGTTGGTATTTTCAGAGCATATCCTGCTTTTGAAACTGCCATGGCTCCTTCCTCAGGGACCCCACCACCGCTCACTCTTTGCTTGAGTCTTCCCCACTGTACCTGTGCTGACGGCACGTACCTGGGTCGAGAAGCGGCTGGACTGTGCAAGCTGGTGGCTATTTTGAGAAAGTTTGTGGTGCAGTGTGTGAAAATTCAGGTGCTGGAAGCTTACTGGTGGGAAAATACAAAAGGAAGAGCTGTATTCATAAACATTCTGTCAAATTCCGGGAGCCTCCTTCCCAAAGTAATTGTTGTAGGAAGATAAACTAAAATCATTACCCAGGTAGTATATACTTAACTCTGTATTTTCTTTTTAATGAAAGCATTGAAGTTGAAGATTCACTTCTCTCTTGTGTAATCAAGGCACATTTTGGAATTGAAGGAAACTATATTGCTATTTCCATAAATTTGTTGTTAGCCCTAGGTCCCTCACTCTCATTTTGGATAAGTCTCTGTAAACATTACCTGTTGCATGTGTGTTCAGTATATTTTATAAAATCAGTAACAGCGTGAACTCTCGAGATGGGTAATGACACCAAACTAGTTTTGTTTGTTTCTTTGTTTTATTTAGGCAGGAAGAGGTGTGAATAATAATTGAGGAAAAACTAACAGATGCTTTTGTTAATACCAAAATTGAGCCTACAATTACAAATGAATATGTTTAACAGGATACAGGTGACAGTGAAGATAGAACAATGAGGATGACCATAGAATAAATATACTCTATAACATTGCTGTTTACCCAGCATGACTTTCCTTAGAAGGCCCCCTTCTTATGTTAGAGTGGAAATCCTAATAAATTGAAGCCTACCAGAAGAACTAATAGAAGAAAGCTTTGTAGCTTTTTTGCCATTATAGGAGCCTATTGTCAGTGCCGTGGATGGGAAAAGATTTGGGGGGGGGGGGGTAGGTCGTAATA